TTGATCAAAAACACTCTTTTATTTAAATTCTAATATACTGATTTAGTGCTCAGGTAACTTTTTATATTATTATCAATGTTAAAAACAGTTGAGCTGCTTAATAATTTTCTGGAAATTTTCTGTATGAATATTATTAATTTAAAATATGGGTATTTAGTTTGGTGACCAAATTCTCACTGTTAACTAGTTAATATTACTAGCATATTGGCTGATTTATGATTAATGCCTTATTCTGCATGACCATATTCTACATCCCTAATCCTACCCAATACCTAAACTTAACAACTACCTTACTAACTATTAATAAGCAGCAAAGTTTATTGTTTTTGCCTTTGCCTCATTAAACTCCTTATAAACTATAAGGAGTTTATTGAGGCAAAGGTTGTAGTTAATAGTTAACTGAGAGAATTAGACTCCAAGCTAAAGTTTGACCAAAATATATTACAATATTAGCAGTATATGAATATTTCTTTGCCATATTCCATACTCCCAGCCCCAGGAGCCGTATGTATTTAGCCAGCAAGCCCAGGATGCCATGAGGACTGCGATTACACTGCGATACTCTCTGCTGCCCTTCCTCTACACACTGTTCCATCACACACACTCCTCCAGCAGCACCGTGGCCCGTCCTCTCTTCCTTGAGTACACACACTCATTCATTTCAGCTCAATATCTCTTTATCTGAGCTCAGCGATGACCTCTTTACTGAGACTGCTCATTCTTTCAGGTTTCCCACTGATCCAAATTGCCAGAGCATTGACAGGCAGTTCCTGTGGGGGAGTTCACTGCTTATCAGTCCCGTTCTGGAAGAGGGAGCGGTGCAGGTGACGGCCTATCTTCCCCCGGGGACTTGGTACAGTCTGCACAATGTAATCCCTCCTCTCATGCTCTACATATTAAATCAGCACGTTAATAGGTTTTATCATAATTGTTTTATTATTTATTTTCCCCTAAGCTCAAAGCTTAAAATAACTGTTTTCTAGTTAAATATATTTCAAATTAATTCGAATGTGCTGATTTGCTGCTCCAGAAGCATTTCCTATTATCATGAATGTTGAAAATGGTTGTGCTGCTTAATATTTTTGTGGAAACTGTGATAATTTTTTTTTTCAGGACTCTTTGATTAATTTAATAAAATTACTGATTTCTTAAAAAAAAAAAAACTCGAGTTCTAACGAGTTTTACTTATACAATTGGTAACACTACAATTAGGGTCTTATTACTTAATGTTATGCATTGATTAAGATTAACTAACAATGAGCAATGCATTTATTACAGTATTTGTTCATCTTTTTTAACATTGGTTAATATCATAATTGTTTTACTATTTATTTTCCCCTATGCTCAAAGCTTTAAAATAACTGTTTTCTAGTTAAATATATTTCAAATTAATTCGAATGTGCTGATTTGCTGCTCCAGAAGCATTTCCTATTATCATGAATGTTGAAAATGGTTGTGCTGCTTAATATTTTTGTGGAAACTGTGATAATTTTTTTTTTCAGGACTCTTTGATTAATTTAATAAAATTACTGATTTCTTAAAAAAAAAAAAACTCGAGTTCTAACGAGTTTTACTTATACAATTGGTAACACTACAATTAGGGTCTTATTACTTAATGTTATGCATTGATTAAGATTAACTAACAATGAGCAATGCATTTATTACAGTATTTGTTCATCTTTTTTAACATTGGTTAATAAAAATACAAATGTTCATTGTTAGTTCATGTTAGCTCAGGTCCATCGAATAACATTAACAGCTAATATTATTAACAGCTTTTGGTTTTAATAATGAAAGTAAGATGAACATTTCCTTAGATTAATTAAGTATTTATTTATAATTAATAATTAGGTATATCTCACTGTTAGTTCATGTTAACTAATGCACAGTAGTTTCCTAATGTTTACAAATTAAAACTTGCAAAGTGTGATAATATTAGTACAAAATGCTATAGTACTTGTCATATTTTAGTTGTTGATACTGTAACCATTTTCCACCCTCCCTTTGACCCACTGTATTAATCTTTCTGGTATATAACTTGTAGATACCTTCAAATAAAATTCAAAGCCTGCTTCACATTGTGATATGTTTACAAAGTTACAATGTAATTCAAAAGCTTATTATATGACCCCTTAAGACAAATGACTATTTATATGTGATTGAATCCTCTGTGTTTTCTCATAGGGGGAAGCATATTGCAGTAAAGGGCAATGCATTCTGTTCCCTGCTCCTTTAGACACCATTAACGTTCATGTGAGAGAAGGGAGCATCATCCCGCAGCAGGTGGAGTAAAGACTAGATCTAGCGATATTTGTTCATTTAATTTATGTTGTGTAGAAAGTGAATTTGGCCGTTTCCTATTTGTTTCTCAGGTTCCTGCATTGACGACTACAGCATCTCGCAGGAATCCTTTCACCCTAATCGTGGCACTGTCTGTGGGAAATTGGGCTAAAGGGGAGCTCTTCTGGGATGATGGGGAAAGTCTGGACACTTTTGAGCATGGACATTATTCATATGTTCTGTTCTTTGCTCAAGAGGTACAAAATAGGGTGAATTTTGGCTTCATGTTGACTTGACTGGTTTGGATGTTTCCTATTGTTATACTGTGTTGGAGCAATCCAAAGTGAATTGCTTCATCAGGCATTCAAATTGAAAAACAGCAAGCATTGTGTTTACCAGACCTTTGACAGGCAGTTCAATGCACTTTTTATGAATATTTGCTGAAAATATACTCACCCTCAGGCCATCCAATATGTGGAAAAACTGTATAATGAGAAATGACAGCTAACAACATGTTTTGACTTTGTTCTTGTTGAAATCAGTGTAAAATTTTCCAGAATCACACACTCCTTAAAGGAATAGTTCACCCAAAAAAGAAAATTTGCTGAAAATGTACTCGCTCTCTGGCCATCCAATATGTAGATGAGTTTGTTACTTCATCAGAACAGATTTGGGAGAAATGTAGCATTTCATCACTTGTTCACCAATGGATCCTCTGCAGTGAATGGGTGCCGTCAGAATCCAAACAGTTGATTAAAACATCACAATAATCCACACCACTCCAATCCAACAACTAATGTCTTGTGAAGCAAATAGCTGCATGTTTGTAAGAAACAAATGCATCAAAACTTTTTTTAACTTCAATCCATTGCTTCTGGCTAAAATATGAATCATATCCATACTATTGCTTTCTCCTTTGAAAAAGTCATTTTGTCTGAATCAGTTTGCAAGCAAAAACTGGAGGATACACCACTATGGATTATAGACTAGTATTTTGACGAGAAGTGAGGATTTAAAGTTAAAACGCCTTTCTCCAGATCTGTTCTGATGAAGAAACAAACTCATCTTGGATGGCCTGATGGTGAGGAACTTTTCAGCAATTTTTAATTTTTGGGTGAACTATTCCTTCAACTAGAACATCATTTGAAACCCATCAAACAAATGGACTATTGAAGAATACTCCAAAGTTATGGTCAATATGTGCATTAATTTGAAATGTATTCTATTGTTTGTTTGATCTTTCATATTTCCCTGCAGTCTTATGTGGTCAGTAAGCCAGTCAAATTAAATGGATCTCTCGATGGTTTGGTACTCGGGGAAGTACGTGTTTTTGGGGTTCAGGCTTCACCTACAGCCGTGTGGGCCAATGGCCAAAAGGTTCATGACTTCTCTTACAGCCCAGACACCAAGGTATGCAACAAGTGCTTGTGTTTCATATTGATCTTTAAAATGTGTTGATCTTAAAAAGCTGTCATGAAGTAGTGAGTTTGTGTGTGTGTGTGTTGCAGGTTCTGACAGTGCCAGGTCTGGACTCACCCATGACAGCCATGATCACAGTACAGTGGAGCTGATGAGAAATCTCTGCTGTGATACTGCTGTGTATATGTTCCTTGCTTATGCAATTGCATATATAAAGTTTTCATCCAGTTATCATTAACAGCATGTTTCTACTGTACATTTCCATTTAAATATTGTTTTTGCTGTAAAATAAATCTTTATTTTTATTATATGTTCTTAATGTTTTATTGTTGTGTGATTGTGATAGAAGAATCAGAATAATCAGTATTTCACATAACCCATAAGTTTTTCCTTTATATTTTACATTTACATTTAGTCATTTAGCAGACGCTTTTATCCAAAGCGACTTACAAATGATGACAATAGAAGCAATCAAAACCAACAAAGGAGCAATAATATGCAAGTGCTATAACAAGTCTCAGTTAGCCTAACGCAGTACACGTAGCAAGGTTTTATTTTACATGTCAGAGAAATATAATAATACGAAGAATATTATTTTTTGTTGTTGTTGGTCTTCTTCTGCTTATAAGATTAAATTATACAAATAAATATATAGCTACATATGCATAGTAGGGGCATTGCATTTTAAAAAGTAAGCTCAGATTTAAATATATTTAAATATATATTATATATTAGAATTGTATATTTTATACATATTTTATATAATTATATTTTAACACACACACACACACACACATATATGTGACCCTGAACCACAAGACCAGTCATAAGTAGCACGGGTATATTTGTAGCAATAGCCAACAATACATTGTATGGGTCAAAATTATCGACTGATGCCTAAGATCATGTTGAAGATATTGTATCTCAGCCAAATATTGTCCTGACAAACCATACATCAATGGAAAGCTTATTTATTCAGCTTTCTGATGATGCATTAATCTCAATTTCAAAAAATTGACCCTTATGACTGGTTTTGTGGTCCAGGGTCACACACACATTTTATTATAAATGTAAAATTTTGTGATTCGACACCACAATGATTTAGTTTTTGATTTCTTACAGTTTGTCTGTGCAAGTTATTTCTTTATGTTTCAGGTGTGTTTAGTTTTATACACTTTTTTTATAAATGCAAATCCCAACGCATTAACAACGGAAACGTGTGCATCTTATGTTTTCTGTTGTCTACAGATTATAATAAGCGGGACCCATGTCCTGCCTCGAGCGTTGCGTTCAGAGGAAGCGCAGCGTCGTTCCGGAAGCAGCGGAATGTCGGGGGGCGGAGCGTCGAGTCTGGCGTCAGCCGCGGCGTGCGGAGTGAAGTATCACCGATAAACACGCGCGTCATTCACCGTAGCCTGGATCGGACGCGCCGCTTCTTCTGATATGGACGTGTAGCGACGGCTGTAATCGTTTCTGGTGCTGAAGGTAAGCCTGCTGCATGTGTGCTTTTCGATTATAGATGTATTCCTACGGCTGTCATTATTGGAAGTAGTTTAGTTAGCGTCCCATATGGGTACAGCAGTGCACACTGTATAACAGATATAACGGGACACCAGCGCGACTTCCGTCTGAAATCAATCCTCACACGTGATCCTTCAAAGTGGGACGAAAGGGCTTGTCCATTAAAATACATTACTGATACAGTTCAGTCACCCTGATCAAAAGGACAAAACAGCTGATACAGGCCTGAACATTATCAATATATATTTTTTTTGATAACTTGTTATATTTACCTGCTGTAATGTTTATGTTAGGGCATGCACACGACACAGTTTATTGCTGAAGACTTGTAACTTTGCCATTGGGATTAATATGATTTTGCCCCAATAAATTATTTTATGACACTTCTTAAAGGGATAGTTCACCAACAAAATTCAATTCTGTCTCACATGCATGTTATTTTTCTTTTGTGGAACACAATAAGATGTCCCAGTTTATATGTAGGTATGTTTTAATTATTCAAAGTAGCTACAATGCAAATACATGTATCTACACATTGTACACAATAAGTGCATTGTAGCAAACGATTAATTGTGTTAGTAAATAGTCGTTAAAGATATTTAATATAAAGTGGGTCCCAAAGAGATGTTTTTAAGAAGATTGGAGTATGTTTTTATAAGAATTTTTTTTTTTTTCATTCTTTCTACTGTAGAATTTCATGTTTAAGCCAGTGTGTTACTTTCTGTTTCTTTGTAATTGTTCATTAAACTTATTAACAATTTCTAGTGAAAACTGTTTTAAGGAAATCCCACGCCATTTTTTTTTCCATTACAGGGATCAGGGCTGTCAAGCTCCAAAAAAGGGTAAAAAAAACTCAATAAAAGTAGGCTCATGAACAGGAACGGACCCAAATGAAATTAAGTTGTTTTTTGCTAAAAAAAAATAATGCCCTGTGTCATAGCTCTTAAATTTTATTTGAACTTTCGCATGATAGTCAAACTTGGCATGTAGTGATCAAATACAAGCAAGGGGTTAAATTGGGCTGGAACAGCTTTCTGGCACATTTAATTCAATTTAAGAAAAAAATATTGTTTTAATTTTATTTATTTCCTGTTTTTATTTATTTATTTATTTTTGGGAGACCCATTCAGCCTCCATTTAATTAGCAAACATTATGCATATGACACACATTTGCCTAGAGCGTCTCTGACAGGTTCTCACTGTCTGTTCCAGTCAAGTTACAAAATAAAATGCAACCAAATGTGCTGCCATTTCTGAAATGCATCAGCTGATTTATTAAAAGACAAGTGTCATGTCATATCCTGCCTAGTGCAGTTAAATCATTACATTGGTTGGTCATTCTTCAGAATTCCATTTGTGTTGCACTGAAGAAGCAAAGTCATACATCTTTGGAGGGAATGTTTATTTTTGAGTGAGCTAATTTTATTGTGCATTTAAAGGGATAGTTCACCCAAAAATGGAAATTTGATGTTTATCTGCTTACCCCCAGGGCATCCAAGATGTAGGCGACTTTGTTTCTTCAGTAGAACACAAACGAAGGTTTTTAACTCAAACTGTTGCAGTCTGTCAGTCATATAATGTGAGTGAATAGGAATCACGGCTTTGAGAGTAAAAAAAACACACACAAAAAAACAAATTAAACACTGCGGCTCGTGACGATACATTGATGTGTAAAGACACAAAACAATCGGTCTGTGCAAGAAACTGAACAGTATTTATATTGTTTTTTACCTCTGATTTTCACCGCAATGTCCGAACTGTCTGTCCTGAGCGCGTTCCTCCGATAAACATCAAATTTTCATTTTTGGGTGAACTATCCCTTTAATGAATATTAGATTGAATAGCAAGAATTGAACGCCAGATTATCTTCCGTGTGCATTCCTAGTGAAGTAGTTGTTGTTCTGTTGTATGGAGCTTGATGTCTGCCAGAGCGAGAGATTGCAGCGGTGCTGACAGCTCCGAGAAGAAACAACACATGCTTCTACTGCTGACACTCTCTTCTTAGTGCACTGCTCCTGATAGTACACACTCACTTTTGCCTGATTTGGCCGGTGAGTCTGCTAGTGCAATGCAATGATATGGCATGTTTACTCACTGGAGTCGTGTTTGCGCTGTAATTACAGCCATATGATACATGCGGCCATGCATCCACCTGAATAGTCACTGTAAAACTGAAGGAAAGATGAACTCCTAAGTTTTAAGGCGACTTTACCAGACAAACTTGTTCCTCTCTTAAATTCAGTAGTATAGGGTTTATTTGTTCATTTGTTTTAACAAGGCTTGTTTCTTTTTGGAAGTTCACTGGTTGTTTAATGAGTCTCTTCAGCCTTAAAACTATTTTATTGTTCATAATAATTGCCAAATTTTTCGCAATTAGAAACATTCATGTTCTCTGCGTTGTGACAGGAAGTTGACCTCTAATCAGCACAAATGAGCAATGCCATTCCGGAAGAGTTGGGTACCATTAATTAAGACAGGAAAAAATAAAATCACTAGACAGAAGAGGAAGATTGAAACGAGACGTCCGTCCTGAGGAAGTTCTTGTCACGAGTGATGGATGACTGTGAATGTTGCGTAATTAGTTTTTGAGTAGTTGACAAATATGCAGGTTAAAATATGGATTTCTAAGAGAATGTGTATGTTTTAGATGCTTTAAAAATTTGAAACCCTTTTTAATTGGCTTTTAGTGTTTTTGCAGGGCAGTTCAAAGACAAGCAAGGGGTTAAATGGGGCTGCAATGATCTGAAGCAGCGTACTGGCACCTTCAATTCAAGAAAAAAAAGATATTATTTGAAACCTTTTTTTTGTCTTTTAGTTTTTGTTTGATCCATTCAGCCTCCATTTAGTTAACAAACATTATGCTTAGTCTGTGACAGACCAGTGTTTAAGGGAATGTGTATGTTTTAGATGCTTTAAAAATATGAAACCATTTTTAATCACATTTTAGTGTTTTTGCAAGGCACTTAAACAGTCCTGCGAAATGACAAAATTGTATAGTATTTTACAGCAGATTTTTATGATATGGTTGATAGGGTTGCCAGGTAGTTGCTTACTGGCTCAAGTAACTCACTTAAATCTGGAATATACTCTGTATGACTTTTGCTCAAATTTTTGCCACAATTTACAGTCTGGAGTTGTTGACACTGAATACCGAAAGTCAAAGCCAGTCAGCAGATTTGATTTGACAGATTTTATATAAAATCACGATTCACGTAGTGTATGATAGTCTAGTGCTGTCAAACGATTAATCACGATTAATCGCATCCAAAATAAAAGTTTTTGATTACAGAATATATGTGTGTACTGTGTATATTTATTATGTATATAAATACATACACATACAGTATATATTTTGAAAATATTTACATTTATTTACATGTATATATTTATATTCATATAAATATAGTATTTAATACATAAATATAACACATTTTCTTAAATATTTACGTGCATGTGTGTGTGTTTATATATACATAATATATACACACAGTACACACAAATATATTATGTAAACAAAACCGTTTATTTTGGATGCGATTAATCGTTTGACAGCACTATGATAGTCACAGACTCCGATTTTAGCTTCAGACTCGGAAGATATCAAACATCTTCTCAGTTTAGTGTATGATGCCGTTTTTCCTTCGTAAATATTTACACATTTGACAAGTGTATAATGACTAGCGTTTGAAAATCTGTTCCGATCAAAGTGTTTTGTATTCCAGCTTTTAGAAAAGAATTAGTGGAATCATGCATGTCTGTAGCACAAACCGAGCAAGACGAGTTGCACGCTGAAGATGAATGCTTTGGATTTAGGGCTTTTAAAAAAAGAATACAATATGGAGTAGTAATCGCACAACTTATGAGGTCATAAAAAATGAATGCAGAATTAGACAATTGTGTCTAAAGTAGTTTTAGATGAAATGTAACATTTCACACTGCATTCGCTGCTTGAAGTTTCATGTGAAGTTGCCCTTTTCTTGAATGGCTTGTTAGCATTTAAACATTATTAAGACTCTGGCAGTTAAAAAAGGACCATAAAGTGTTTTATAAACGTTGTGTTGTCTTATAACATTTGGCACGCTGAATCTTCTGTCTGTTGCTGTAGCTTTGGGTTCCTCCAGTGAGTGAGTTGGCACATTTGTGTGTGTCTGTTTGTTTTAAGGTGTGTCTGTGTGTGGCTTAGTCACAAATAACCATGCTGTTAGTTTCAAGAAGGTGACATGGATTGACTGTGACGTTCATATATTTATTATTCATATGTTGTCATGATTAGATCAATTAGGTCAATTTTATCACCGTTGCTTTTCTTAAATGAAACCGCCTCAGTGATGTATGTGACCTCCAGAGGTCGCAGCCTCCGAAAAGAGATGGACCTTATGATATTCTGATTTCGAAATCATTTTCATCGTATTATATTTATTGTTTGGCAGTGAGAATCGTAAATCTGGTTGTTTAGAAACGTAAGAAGCCGCCTGATTAGAGGTTGTCTTGTTGTTTCTGTCTCAGAGGATGGGAGCAGTGAGTGGTCACTGGAGGAGATGTCATTCGGTCGACTCCTGCGACGTGCATCCTCCAAAGCCTCTGACCTTTTGACGTTTAACGTGGGCATGGGAGGATCACGGACCGTGCTGGATGGAGAGATCATCTTCTCCAAGAACAATGTGTGTGTTCACCCGGCCGAGCCTCTGCCCGGACTGCCTGAGCATCACCCAGGTACCGCATACCCATTAACTGAAATACACTTAAGTTATTCACAAGGTATGGGCATATCGGTTGCATGCCATAATTTTCAGCAAAAGTGTCTTTATAAATGTTTTTGTAATGAGTCACATTATAGCTTTAAAACTTTCAGTTTGTTGCTGATTTTCTTTTTATTTTATCTTAAATAAAAAAAGGAAATGGTTGGAAACATGTTTTAAAAATATAAATATTTGTAAAAAAATAGATATAAATATACAAAAATAATGTATTATTCACACTAGTAAAAATGTTGGCAGGGCAACTGAAAATGTATTTTATTTGTTTTTTATTTTATTTTTTTCAATATGAAAAGTCCATATTGTTGAGCCTTTTTTTTTTCCAAAGAATCTGCATTTATTTGATAAAAAAAACAGTAAAATGTTTTTATTCTATTCTATTGTATTTCTGTGATGGCAAAGCTGATTTTTCAGCAGATTCAGCTCCTTAATATTTTTGTGGAAACCATGATAAAAAAAATTTCCCAGGAATCTTTAATGAGTAGAAGGTTTGAAAGAACAGAATTTGTGAAATAGAAATCTTTTGTAACATCATAAATTATTTGTCTGTCACTTTTGATCAATTTGATGTATACATGTATGAATTAATTGTAAAAAATCATACTGACCCTAAACTTTGCTACGGTAGTGTAAGTGATCAGATTTTCTATTGGTCCAAAAGTCATAAGGTCTGATTATTTCACATGAAGCTTTTTCCTGTTAATTGTCACTAATTGTGTCTAATTTTAAAATGTATTTACAGTATTAATCTAAATGTATTTTTGTCTTTTAATGTGAGAAACGACATTTCCTTCAAAAAACAGAAATGTTATGATTATTCACAGTTTTTCGTGTTATTTCAGATGTTAGATGTACATTCAGAGTCTATTTTTGCAATTGTATTAATATTTTGTGTACTTCAAAAATATATAGGAAAAATCTGTAAAAAAGTAAAAATTCTGTAAAATTACAGTTTTTTTTTTACAGTGTAGTTCTGCTTGTGGTCTACAGCTAACCTTGTTACAACATTCCTCAAATAAAACTCTTTTTAAATATTCGATGCCTTTAACCCCAACACACCCTGACCACGGCAAGTTGCATGAAGCCAGCCAATCAGCTTAGAGTCTGCCAGTTTTTGAGTTTTTCTGACTGTGTCCTCCTTCAGGTTACCTCTGTGTGCACCTGGAGAAAGACGAGACCCTCGGCTCCACCCTCATCCTCACCTGGGTGCCCAACTCTCGCATCCAGCGGCAGGACGAGGAGGCCCTCCGTTACATCACGCCCGAAAGCTCACCCGTCCACCGCAACCCCCGCCGCCGAGCCCACCGGAGCCACTCTCGTCCACCGCCCACCCCCGAGGAAGAGGAGGATGAAGAGGGGCCGGAGCCAGCCCTGCAGAACCAGCAGCTTTTGGAAGAGGGCGATGAAGGCTCGTGCGAGCTCTCTGCGGACGAGGTGAGTCGGGACAGCACCCTTGGCTCGGACTCGGACACCTTCTCCTCGCCCTTCTGCCTGTCGCCGGTCAGCGAGGCTCTGGGCGAGAGCAGCAGCTCCGTCTTCCTGGATAATGAGAGCAGGTGAGATAAACACACACACCTGACAGAAATGTGCTCATGTGTCCTTGTTTTCAGTTAGTTTTAAGATTTTAGCTTAAAGGTGACATATTATGCCCCTTTTTACAATATGTAATATAAGTCTCTGGTGTCCCCAGAATGTGTCTGTGAAGTTTCAGCTCAAAATACTCCACAGATCATTTATTATATAATTTTGAAAATGCCTATTTTGAGTGGAAGCAGAAACAAGCCTGTTTTTCTCGGGCCTGTGTCTTTAAATGCAAATGAGCTGCTGCTACCCGCCTCCTTTTCCAGAATAGAGCTGCGCCTTTACAGCTTGTATCTGCTAAAAACATCTGTTTTGGTTCTGATTATCATGTTTATACCGCTGAAATCATGCGTTTTAAACCATATGAGTTTAAACTTCAGATATAAGGTTTTCTGAGCGCACA